CTTTCATATTTGCTCTTTTCATAGAGTATTGCTAGTATGTTGAACGCTCTTATTCACATTTTATTACAATTCGGATTTTCCCCTTTAATAAACATTCTCTTCCCAGCTATTTCTTATATAATAATGATAGTGATTTGTAATGCTCTATGTCTGTTAAAACTCTGGGCACAATTGCAAACAAATAAGTATAATTGTGGGCATACATGTATACAGCATACTTTTCGAACTACTAGTATTATATATTTTTTGTTATGGTAATGTTGTGCTTTGTTTCAGAACTTTGGCGTCCAACTAATGTGACCCGATTCGAAGACGGGTGCTTTCAAGATTTAAACAATCTCTTTGCCATGTACGAAATAGAACTATCATGTTATGCTTCCTTCTTTTAAAATTGTCAAAAATAAAATAAAGGATATTGCAAAATATACTAGTCTCATTTTTAATGATTCAGATCCATTCCATATAATGCATTATAGAAAGAGACATTACAGGAGATAATATATTAATCAAAGGCTCCTTTCCTTTCATATTTGCTCTTTTCATAGAGTATTGCTAGTATGTTGAACGCTCTTATTCACATTTTATTACAATTCGGATTTTCCCCTTTAATAAACATTCTCTTCCCAGCTATTTCTTTAACTTACGTATCATGATTATTTCAATATTCTGTAGTCTCTCGGATTTCATGAAATTATAATTTTTTTCCTACAGCAACCTGAAGAACAACTTGATTACGGAGTTTAGCCCTGGGACATTTAAGGATCTCGGAAATTCATTTCAGAGATTGTAAGTAGACACATTCTAACCAATTTGTAAGTACACTGTTGTACGGCTAAATCTGCTGAATGACTTTAGTAAGAGAAGTTAATTTATGTAATGCCATTTTGGGGTTGTTTGTATTTTACAAAGAACACAACGAAACAAAGAAATTTGTTATTCATTTGTCAGCACTTTATAACAGTTTTGTAGACTTATATGAAAATATATGCTTTTATGTATGTATCATCAAAATGGTATATAATCAACATCAAAACCGTCACAAACCACTTGTTATCGTTTGTAGAATCTTGAAGTGGAACCAATTAACATCAATAAACGCTTCTCTGTTCTACGGGATCGAAACAGAATTGCTACGGGCGTAAGTAATATCGACTTTTTAATTGAAACTTTAAAGCTCTGTTGCACCCATTTTTTTTTCTCTAATTATTATCATGTTTTACACGATATTAGATGGACTGAAGCCTTAGTGATATTGATTTTTGTTTTATTATTTTTCAATGCATCCATAATTCTCGGGGACTTTCTAAATTTAACATTGTCCTGGGGGAGGAGTAATAGTCTTATATAGGGGGTCATTGTCCGCTGGTAATCATCCTGGTGTGATTGTACAGGGGGTTATTGTCCTATAACCCATTGATGGTATTACTTTTACGAAAGTAGTTGCGACCGTGTTATTAAAATCGTAAAAAGCAGAAAATGCGTTATAATAAAGATATAGTGACTGTTATTAGAGGAATAGTTGTATTATAGGCTCAAAGGGGACCCCCGAGAGCCCATAAAACAACTATTCCTTGAATATTGAAGCAGTCATTATATTTTTTATATACCGTAAAAATGGTCATAGAATACATGTGCGACTTACTAATCATGGTAATCAAGTTTGTTTACGCTATCGAGGTATGTGTTGAAAACTTGCAGGTAGACCTAGTCTTCGAATATTTTTACAGAGAATTTCACGGAACTTTTGGTGTTCTTGCTGTCCGCAGAATTAATCAAGTCTTGTAATTGATCATCATCAAGAACTTCAAATCTAGGAAGAGTCTCTTCAGCCATTTTTACCTTATTTGGAAATAAAATAAGGTTTAGAAACTAAAAAATCGGAGATTACATGTCGATCTAGGCCTACAATCGAGATCGGCGGTCATCTGCGCTCATCTGTCATCTGGTTGTTGTCACAATTCATATTTTGGGCTATTTTTTTAAAACTTATTGTTTCATTACACAGAGGCAAAACATCCTTGAGCCCCAAATCTATCCCACTTTATCCTGAAATCTTTGAAGGCCTGGACAGTTTAATTGCTATGTAAGTCAAAATTTTGTTTTGTCTTCTTCATTCTGTATATCATATCTGTCTCGCCCCCCCCCCCTCTCTCTCTCTCTCTCTCTATCTTATAAAGGGTTTGCATTTGGGTTAACGCTTGAAAAGAAAATGATCAAACCCAGCCATGTACAATTTAACTGGTATTTATGGTACTAAGAATTTACATACACAGCATGAAGGCTGAATTATACTGCATGATTTATGAAGTGAAAATGCATGTTAAATCGAAGATTTATTTTGATTCGTAGAATTCCTATTTTGTGATCGTACAATTATTTTCTCTTCGTAAAATATCATTTTCTAGGTGTTCGATGTGTCAGAATTACCCGATTTTATGAGATGATCATCATTGTTTGAATACAGATTGACACAATATTTTGAGCTTTCCTTAAATCAATGGACTAACTAAACCCTTTAAGGGTGTTTAGCAGGGATTTTTCAACTGCACGTAGCTAAGAGAAATTGTTTTTTTCGGATTTTTGCAGCTAAACAAGCAGATCAGCGAATCAAGTCATTGTAAAGAACGCGTCAAGTAACATACATAATCTTAAACGGGATAAGGAAAAAATATGATAAGACGCACACATTGAAGGAGGAGAGCGTCATTCGCATTTGGTATACCAAAAGAAGGAAAATAGCGAACTAATAAGGGTATAGAAGACGTCCAGGAACATCATATAATTACTTCCATTCGGGATGAAGCAAAACATATTTCAATAGCGGGCAGCGAAGTAGAAAAGATTCGCATTTTAGCAGCTAATGAAGCGAAGCAGCGAACCAATCAGCGAACAGAAAATCTCCAGGAACTCATATATATCATTTCGGCATAAAGCAATATTTTTAAACCATACACAGTCCAGGACAGAAGTGATTTTTGCATTCACGTCACATTTATTTCACATCAGGTACTGTTGATGTGGGTCTATACAGAGAACACTGAACATGCGACTTCAGATGATATCCGGCGTCCTTCTGCTTCAAATTCTTTTACATCAAGGTAAGACGACATTTGAAAACCATTGACAGCGATTTATTAACATTGTCACAATAATTTATCTTTTTTTTTCTCTTGATTTTCTTCGGACATACCTTGTTTTCGTGTCGATCTGTTTTAAATTCCCTTATATCTAGGCATGGACATATCACGGATGGACATTCATCGTTAACGAATTCATTGTGGTTGTCTCCGTCAATGTCGTCTCAATAACATTCCGTACAATTTTCTTCACTTTGATCCCATGAGGGTCACCAATAAGCCGGGAAAGAATCAAGAGAGTGATTTTACGCATGTTAATCTACATGCGCAGAAGATAATACATCGCTTAAATTATGGGAAGTCGATGTGCAGTTCTGGTTTATAATCAGAAAATGTTGTTCGTATACTGTATTTTATTTAGAAAAACATGTTGATATTACAAGATAGAGGTTATATTTGGATTGGTTGTGATTTAAAATCCTGTTTCCGCCACTTTCCTCATAATCCTTCAAAGTTGCAACGTTCATGGCTTATAAAGATCATGGCCTTGTAATTGTTTTATAAGGTCATGGGTGTATGCGAAAGTGTGCGAATCATTAATAATACATTTCATATCCCCCAAATCGTCCGCTTTTCAACTTTGCTGTTCCCCATTGGGGATGTTTTTATTTAAGACACACTCTTACAGAGCACACCATCCAAACAAAGCCCAAGAGATGGAAACTGCTCCTTTGTCAATGACCGAAAATTCTATTGCAGTCGTTATTGTTAAAACAGCTGAATGTTCTCATTAAGATGCACACAATCAGAAGGCGGTGACTCTCATTGGATCAAAGAAAAAATCACGTCGAATGTCCATCCGTAATAGGTCCATGGTTTACCCAAAGGATCGTAATTCCGGAAAAAATATCAAGTTGATTATTCGGAATGTTCATATTTCCGAAACTATAAAAGAGCGTTTGAAATTCCGAAAATGAAATACGCTTCACTTTTTAGAAGGTTCTATAATTTGGAAAATGCTGATAATGCTGATGATGATTTACGTCATTTACATGGCGCAATATTCAGGTTAAAATATTCAATGGGTTTTTTTTTTTAAATGTGAAAATATGAACCAGCAGCAGTATGAACCCGATTTTCTTTTCGGAGCTGCGAACCTCCCTTCATAATTTTTTTCTTTCACACATGTTTACGATTGTATCATTTGTAATTTGAATGGAATTTCTTCTTCAATGCGTCACTCTTTTTTTTTTACATTGTCTTGTTCTTTTCTACTTTATCTGTATTTCCTTCCTGTTAAATGCTACAATTTTGCTTTTTATCTTTACAGTTCATTGTTTGTAATAATGTAAACCTATGTTGATTTCGCATGGAGCATTTGCTTGAAATCATTTTATAGGCACATTTAAAAGGCAATCTAACCTTTGTATTACATGAGTTCGTTTGTATGAAGCAGAAAAATAAGAGATTGAAACAGAAAGGCAAAACCTTGAAAGAAATCGTACCTTTGATATGAAGGATATAAATCAACAAATCTATGAGATTCTCAAATTAGCAATTTGGTTAGTGCATTGTGACGTAGTCACGGACAACTTTCCCATTTGTCATGTACACAAATATTTTTAATTTCTGTTTTCTCCTAAGCCTTCTCCCTTTGGCACAACTCAAAGGATATTATGGATAGCATATTATTACAGTTCCTCTAAAAAACAAAAGACCTTTTTGAGTAATACATTTAGGAAAATAAATGACATTTTAGTCATACAGCGAGAGCGCCATTGTCTTGACAATTTTCTAACCGTCTAAAGTAAATCTACAAAGATATTAGATGACTGAACAAATAAACAAACAGATATATAAATAAATCATTAAATAAACAAATAAATATCAAGTTACAGGAGCTACGCAGGTCAAGGCATCATGTGAATGTGAGGTCATGGAGGACTATCTGACAACCCTGGTGTCACCAGACTTTCCTGATCATTACCCACCGAAGACTCGGCGAGAATGGAGCTTCGACATACCCCCTGGCGCAATGGTAGGTCTATCAAAAGAAAACGATGTTGTCGACATTATGGGCACCTCTAGAGACTTGTATATTTGAAGGCGGGGTAAGGGGCCCTGACAGATTTTCGATTACCAGAAAAGGTTATTCAAAACAAATTATTATGGATGAGTAACTCTTACTCTTAAGTGCTTGTTCGCACAAACTGCTATGTTGCTTTGTATTGGATTCTAAAGATTTCAACCAATCTATTCCAGCTTTATATCAAGATAAACGTGTTAGGGCCACGATATCCCCTAATGCAAACCAGGGCGCCTCAAAAAAATATTTACTTGCTGAACCATAGGGTACGTATAGCCAGTTTAGATGTTTTGGCCCTCCAGAGGTCAGGGTGTGGATACGCCAATAATTGGCACCAAAATTGCATGTTGTACGAAGCACATACCCTAAAAGAAAACAAAACTAAACAAATAAATACATTCATACATATATACATAAATTCGGAGCAATATCACCTACTGGGTTAAAATATACGAAGAAATGTTTTAATCGTTGTGCTATCAATAACAGAATGATGGGTGAATTATTTTCAAACATGACCTTGTCATCATAAAAAGTTCTTAAGTGTATCAAAAAGTTCATGATACATCGAAGAGGGTAAAAGAATTCCATTTTAAGTTTTGGTTATTTTCCTAGATTTTTTTTTTCGACGAATATATTTCAAAGGAGTGGTAGGCCTAATTTTATTTTTTATGAAACTTGCTATGCAGGGTCACATTAAGGTCAACATCCTCCAGGTAGAACATTTTTGGGATCCTCTTACCCTGACACACAGCAGCGAAACTGCACACGGCACTAACGTCACAACCTTCCCATTGGTCAGTGGTAATTTGACGTCACTTCTACTGCCAGAGGGTGTGGTGACGGTTCGCTTCTGCAGTGACGGGTTTCTCTTACATCCTGGTTTTGCCTTTGAAGTCAGGACGCTTCGTGTAAATGGTATTTTCTATTTAGCTATAGTTTAAAACAAATTATAAGTGTTAACAATCATTGCATTATTGATGGATATACACAGAGGCGGCCCTCCCGGGGGGCAAGCACCTGAAAAGTGCCCCATTTTGCAAAGGAAAAGTGCTCCTTTAACTTTGTAAGAAGTGCCCCTTTTTACATAGGAATGGTGCCACTTTTACTTTGACAAGTGCCCCTTTTAATTTGTAAAAGTGGCCCTTCCCCTTTTCAACTCTGATATAAAGTGCCCTTTTATTTTCACACGTGCCCCTTTTCCTTCGACAAGTTCCGTTTTTTTCAAAAAGTGTCCATTTTCCATTCTCATATGTGCCCTTTTTTTATTTCTTTAGTAAGTGCCCCTTTTTAGGTACTAAAAGTGCTCTTTTTTACTTTTGATAAGTGCCCCCTTCACCTTTGATAATTGCCTCATTTGCATTTGAGAGGTGCCTCTAATACTGTGACAAGTGCCCCTTTTCCTTTGTAATAAGTGCTCCTTCCCCTTTTAACTACCCCAATTCTAACTCGGATACGCGCATCTTATATTTTCACATGTGCCCCTTTAACTTTCTAATAAGTGCCCCGTTTCCTCATGAAAAGTGTCCCCATTAACAAAAGAGCCCCTGCCCCTTCTCATAAATGCCCCTTTTCATCTATGGTAAATGACCCTTTTCAGGTACGAGAAGTTACTCATTTTCTCTTCAGATAAGTGCCCCCTTCACCTCCGATAAATGCCCCTTTATAATCTGATAAGTGCCCATTTACTTTCAACAAATGCACATTTTCCTTTATTATAAGTGCCCCTTTTTCATTCACAGAAGTGCCTTTTTTATATCTGGCCGTTGCCCACTTTTAGGTGAGATTAGTGCCTCTTTTCACCTCTGATAATTTCCCTTTTAACAATGATACATGCCCCTTTTCCTTTTTATTACGGGACCTATCCCCTTTTCATAAATGCCCTTTTCGCCTCTTATAAATGTCCCTATCAAAATCTGATGGGGACCCCTTTTCCGTCGACAAATACCCATTTCCTAATCTCATGACTGACTTTTTTCATCCCTGTCGAGTGCCTCTTTTTGAAGATTTAAGAATTGCCCCATTTTTACCACTGATAATTACTCTTTCTACTTTGACACATGCTCCTTTTCTTTTCTGATAAGTGTCCCCTTTTCGCCCCCCCCCCCACCACTCAGTGTCATTTAGGGTACGCGTATGCATGTTCCCTCCCTCTGAAAGAACCCCCCCCCCCCTATCTCCGGTGTGTAAAGTCAATACGTGCCGGATTGTGTGTGTATTACAGGCCCCTCTATCGGAGATTTTGGGGATTCGAATGCGGTCCCTCCGAGTGGGGCGGGGGGATTTAGCCCATGGACAAGACCTTTTGAAAAAATACCAATATTTACAATTTACTCTTGTTGATTCTAGAAACATTAAAAGGACTGAAAACTTTTTTATATTCAATCTCTGTTAATTAAGTATAATATGTACTAACACGCCTGTTGCTGTTGTTATTTTTTTGCTGATGATCATGTTCTTGTTTTTTTAATAATAAATACAAATATTAATATTGTTTTAATATTATGAAGATAGTGGTTGCACTAATGACTCGTGCGTTCAAGCTTGTCTCACCAACACACTTGACTTCATGTGCCGTTCTGGAAGGCAGTTCATTGACGTGATCGCAAGGTGTGACCAGGTTGTCGACTGTCACGACTTCTCTGATGAAATTGGCTGTCTGACTCCAGGTGCGTTCTCATTCTCCTTTCTTGGTCATGTTACCCGGAGGTCAGTTGTGTGTGGGGGGGGGGGGGGCACCCGGGCGGTGTATTGGAAGGAAACAAAACATTCTAAGTCATCACACATATTGCTTTGACACGATCACGACTACTTTCGAAAAATCTTTTTATAGCATTTTCAATAGTCTTGTGCGTCATTTAATTATGGGATGTACAATAGAAAATTGAAATTGCCCTAGAGTCGATATTTCGAAGATCAAAATCTACCCGACACCTGACAGAAACCACCATTGGGTCACTTTCGATAGTGTCTGCGTCTACAGTCAGCCTTTGCTGCATACAATACGCCAATAGCATTTGCAGTTATTTATAACCTATCGTTGCAGGTAAAGTTGTGAATATAATGGTATCCGAACGTCAGACGGACAATCCGACGAAGCAATCGTTCCTTATATCTTGATCCTCTCCCATCCCCCCCCCCCAAAAAAAAAAAAACAGAATGTAAATGCCGTATGACATGAGTGTATACAATTCACTATCATCATGGTCATCATTATCCACATCATCAATACATTTGCTTGTTTTTCTTATCGTAGAAATAGAGTGTCCTCACCGGTGTCGCGATACCGACATATGCCTACTCGATAGACATCAATGCGACGGATGGTATGACTGCCCTCAACGCGATGATGAAGAAAATTGCGGTAAGTGGAACACCCCCACCCCCCTCTGTCATCTAACCGCCCTCATTGATGAATTAAGTACATTGAATTTTTGAATTGCATTATTGTGACTCCGTAATTATGTTGTGGTGCAGTGGTTTATTCATTTCGTAGAGGTGTTGTGTATTTTTGCAAGACACAATGTCCACATTTACCACTTTCCAACCATATTACCTGGCAATTGCTGGGGTAATAATCATCGCAGGGGTTTCTGGGAGAACAGCTGATGCTAATGGACTTCTCTCGGTTGAAAAACTTGTTATTATTATTATTATTAATAGATGTGTTGTGGTCAAGTAGATACGTCGCCGGACTGTCCATCACAAGGTCCGCGGTTCGTGTCCCGCCGCCGCACTAATGTCCTTTGGCAAGACATTGATCTACATCTGCCACACTCCACCCAGGTGAAGTAAATTGGTACCTGGTAGGAATTTATTCCTTGAAATGCTAGAGCGCCGTATGGCAGCCGTGCTAAAGCCAGGGTAATAATCGGGAGCGCCAGGAAAGTCAAATCTGACTGACATGAGCGCTATACAAGAACCCACTATTATTATTATTATTGTTATTATTATTATCATTTGTATTATTACTATTATTGTCATTATTATTGATATTTTTAGGGGTTTTGGTATATTGTATATTTCAATTGACTTATACATTGTATTTTTCATTGACCTATTAATTTTGCAAATCGTGGTAATTGTATACCCGAATTTTAACTGTAATCAAGTGTTTTTCACAATACAGTTGTAAAACGCAAACGCTTATTCTAAATCGCTGCCCTCATGAGATTATCCGTCAAACCTATGGCAAAGTGTTTCCTTTGTTGCAAAAGGCCTATGGGATTCTCTCAACGGCTAACAATTTAAGAGCTTATATAATGAAATATATAAAAATGAAAAGAGGGGGAATTTAAAGTTTCTAATTCAGAAGAGATTAATGTAAACGGGTGCAGTGTAACTCTCACATGGCATACATGACAAGCAATAGTAAGAGTCGATTGTATAGTTTGTAAGCCAGGAGAGGGAAATTTCGATGTACAAAAGAACTATATTGTTATTGATATTATTATTTTATTTATTTGTTATGTGCAAAAAATATTCAAAGTATTTTCATAGCTTAACTTAAGGTATATTTCTCAAAAGAGCAGAATGCCTTTGTGAGTGCATTAATGGTTTTGTGGTCTAACCACTACGATATTATTAAAAGGGCATTTTTAGTGTGTATATGATTGCTATTTGATCGTATATTGGTTTTGTGGTCTCTCAAAAAGAAATTATAAAATGCCCGGATGGATATGTGTGCGGTGAAGCCCCCTTCAATGACTTCCCCCCTCCAACGAATTTTTGTGAGGAACGTGACTGGCAGCCATTTTGGGTAAACGCCACGAAAGCCTGGAATAAGGACAACATTGATATCACGGCCAACAAGGCTGTCATACTGTAAGATCATTATAATTGTGTTTTCAATTAAATATCATCAGTGGTTTAGTTTTCGTCCGATATAATTTGACCGATGTGTTGTTTATTCCTTTCTTTTATGTTTTCTCTCTATCTCTCTCTCTCTCTACGTCACACACGTGCGCACGAACCCTCGGTCACACGCACAACAACCACTGTCCCTTTCTCCTTTTTTAAATGTCTCCCTTCCATCTCTCTCTGGCTCTCCCTTTTCTATAATTAACACCTACTCCGTTTTCTCTGCCTCTTTCTTTCATTCTCTATATTGCATTTCCTCTTTCCCTTTCTCACGTTTATTAATGGTATGTTTTTATATACATGTATGTATTTTACAAGATATATTTGTATCTGTCTTCCATTCCTCCTTTATTAACTTCTTGGTTATAAAGAAAGTATATCAAAGAGAACCACATTCTGTCTTTCATAGCGCACTTGTGCACTTTTGTTTTGTTATTGTGTGTATTCACCGCGGATTATTATTATTTTGAGTCTGATTTATTTATTTCCATTTAAAAATAATAATAAATATTCTACCTATATTCGCGGTACCCAAATGTGAAAATGTTCTATGATTAAAGCGGTTGTTCTTGTAAAGGCGCGTTTTTCAAGAACTTTTGTTAGTGATGTTAGCGAAGACATGGAACGATAGTTATTGACAAGTTGGTTATCTCCCCTTTTGAAAATTGGTGTCAATTTCGCAATTTTTATTACGTCAAGTAATAAAGTGTAGACATTATGGATATAGAAAATGTGATAACAATCTATGAGATCCTGTAGTACCTTCTTATATCAAAATACTTGTACATGACCTACAATGCTGAAGATAATTATACAACACACTTCTAGGGAAAAATAAGTGTATGCACTCAATTTTTGCTTGAAATGGGAACGACATTTAGATTACACCCCTCAAAATGCAAAGGTGCAAAAATACCAGATTATGATATGCCATTTTACCCTTGATATTGAATTAATATATTTTCAATACAAGACTGTTAATAAGATTATATGTTTTAAAACAAGCAACCGTACAAGATTAAACTCGTTAGTGAGACAAATGTTGGCATTGTAAAAAAAAAAAGGAGTAAGAAGATATTGCGCACTTTTTTGTGAATTTAGTAAATAAAGATTTGGAATGAGACAACAGAATGTATGTATGAACGTACAACTTTACAGATTAAGTTTACAAAGAGAAAATATAATTTTTGGTTTTGAAGAAAAAATAATTATGCACTCAATTGCAAGGTAACATTGGCAAAAGCAACACATTTTCCCTAAACATTTGAGTTTAAGGGTTCCTGTATTTGGTGTATTGAAAAGATTTGTTCGATTTTAGATGAAAGATAGATTTTTATAATGTGTAGAAAAATTGTTATTAAGTGGCAATCACTTAATTTGTACTGGTATTTTAAAAAAAAATGAGAGATTCACCGTGTAACCAAGTGAGTCAAAAATATGTAACTTTATGATTATTACTACGGTTATTTTGACATTAATCAATACATCGGTAACATAATTGGAATATAGAAAACGAACAGACAACTAAAAATGCAATCAGGTAAAACAGATGAATAGTATTGATCACTTTGAATGCATACACGCGAGTCAGAGTTTGTGATCGACCATCCTCTCCATAAATTGGCATTAACCTTAGGAGACCGCTTAAAACACCAGGAGAAGTGTTTTCACTAGACAAACAAAAGACTAAAGAACAAAGAAAAAGCAAGGTTTCTCATACTATGGACATTGTAGGCTTCTATTCTAATATATGAAAAGCCGTTTCAACAGGTTTGAAAGAAGAAAAAATTCAACTCAGCCGAGCACGTGGTGTGAACCATTTAAAGGATGACATTTAGGTTTGAGCATTAAAGTAGCTATTGACTATCGCTTATGAGCAGTGACAAAGAATGACTGGAAAATATCAACATGGCCGTGTGTTGGATAAGCCCTTACTTGCTGGAGACATGAAGACTGATGTCAAAAATATTTCAATAAATCATCTATGGCAAGTGTGAGGCACATCATAGAGTGCCCCCCCCCCCATGAATGAGTCCACGCTACGCCACAGTTTACATGTCTGCCCTTCTGATGATTGCAGCATATCGTTTTCAATAACATGAATAGTGCAACTCACTTACCACCGAGAATCGGTTTGACAATTATCGCAATTCAATGATTTTCAATAACAGAAACGAACGACTAACCTTTCGATGTTGCTTTATAAGTTATTATACCAGTACAATTAAGTTAATTTGAATTTGAGATCACTGTTTGAAGAAGACTTTTTTTTAAACCCTTGTAAATTTGATGCCTTTGTTGTGGTTATATATCTTTTTGAATAACATGAATAGTGCAACTCACCTATCACCGGTAATCGATTCTACAATTATCGCAATTCAATGATTTTCTCTGATATATATTTATTTACTAACACCTTTATTTGAAGATATCAAAACTTTACATGTTCAGAATTTCAGACATGCCGTGCTTTTTACTAGTAGAAATAAAGGTAGCACTAGTATATTTTCTTTCTTTTGACCTTTTTACAAATGTTTTCAAATTTGTTGTTGTTATGTTTGTTGTTGGCACAATCCTTAATCAAACTGTTCTACCGATACTCCTGATAATATCATCATGGCCATCTTACGTAGCCACTTTCGCCTCTTCCACTCCATCCCCGCCCTCGAAATCTAAATTTAGGGAAAGTGAATGTAAACAGAAGATTAAACGATAGCCCTACAAAATTCTCAGAATAAATTTGGCAAATAGGTGTTATATCCATCTCGTAAAACCGTTGACACCCCACCCTCAACCACCCACCAAATGAAACTAGGGCGCCCCTCCCCTTCCCCACCACTCGATTGGTTGAACCCACGATATGCTTCTGCGGGGTTACACACGCCAAAAATATCGTATACCTACGTGCACGTACCCACCTTTCCCCGTATACACACCCGCATACACTCATCCAACCTCACCCACACCCACTCCATTTAACACATCAACGCGCACAACACGTTCAAGCAATATGAGGTCTTAAACTATATAGTTAAATTTTCTGATTGTCATCTCACTTGAGACTCGAACTTCGACTATAGTTGATAATATGCGATATTTTCACACCTGAGTAATTTACCCCGTCGCCTGTGAAACAAAAATATTATCTAACTTTTGTATATTGAGTTTTGGATTACTAAATTAAAGTATTTTATCCGTGTTCTTTTGCGGTCCCTGTAAATCTTCACGCATTATATATTTGTTAGAGCAAGACCGATAGATGTTACTGTGTCATATGAAATATCAGTTAATTCGAATAACGGGAATAACTATTTTGCAATGTATATCACTTTCTTTTGTAGCAATATGATAGGCATTCCTCTGACTTTAGAAGTGGAATCGTTTAAAGGACTGCATAATATCAACAATTTGTAAGTAACTTTATCATCTCCAGGTGACCTAGAGGTGTCGTTGGATTGCTTGTAGAGGTATGCTCGTAGCATGTGAGCGCCCATTTAAAGGCCACCGGGTAGTATGCTCCCCGCCAAGGGGGTAGAGAATCTGCTTTTTAATGTGTAGGATAATAGTTGAGTCCAGTTACTAGGGTAATAATAATTATCGTTAACATCACCATCATCATTATTGTTAATATTTTTATTATTTGTATCGTTATTGTCATTATTATGATCATTATCATCTCCAACATTATCATAAATTGTTTTTTTTTGTTCATTGTTCGGTTGTTTCATATCTAATTTCAGGTATCTTGCATCATGTGAATTAACCTACTTGCCACCAGGAGTATTCGACGGTTTATTTCGTCTATACATAATGTAGGTATTTTTTTTTGAGGGGGGGGGGGTCTACATTTGAGTTAGATTCCTTTCCTTAGAATACATTCCTAAATTGCCTTTAAATAAGTTTTCAAAAGCAATTACGATCATGTTTGATTTGATTTCTTATCTGATTATCAGTGAACTTGAAAACAATCGTCTGACTGTTCTGGGGGAAGGTTTGTTTCGAAATCTTTACTACTTGGGAGTGTTGTGAGTATCATAGCATTTTGTCGGTGTTGTTGTTGTTATCAATATTATTAAATTATAATCACTACTATCATTCTTCCTTTATTCTTCTTCTTCGTCTTCTTCTTCTAATTTTTCTTATCATCATCATTAGTATCATTTATCAGATTATTATTATAATTAATATCACTATTATTAGCATTAAAATATTATTATTAATGTTATCATCATTATCATCATCATTGTGGTTGTTGTTGTTATTTCACATAGTTAAATAGTCCCCCTCCCCCTGGCGTGCCTGAAAATCCTAGTCGCGCCAGTGATTATACACACTATTTAAACAATTATCTCCATTCAATTTTAATAGCTCTTGGTTACGGACTCTTGTTACTAGTCACAGGGGCATATAATGCGAAAAAACAAACATAATAATACTAATACTTATAAACAATGATAATAATAATAGTATAAATAATAATAATAATAATAATAAATAATAACAATATTAACAATTACACTATTATTAATAACAATAATAAAAACAAAAACAATTATACAGAAAACTTTCAATGGTTGAATAATTATAACATTGAGTTACGCTTGTACCAACCTCAACATTTTTGTAGGCAAGCTTTCATCCATTCCTGTTGACTTTCTCGAGCTAAGTGATCAGTTTGCACAGTTTCTTGCTGTCTGCTGCCTTGAGATCAGTGGATCTATGAATATAATTATGAAAGTGATTTTGTAAAGCTCCATGTATGTCAAGATTGACGCCCCTGGCTCAATGGCGAGAACAATGGTATAATTGGTGGCATATATGTATACAGCATATTTTCGGAGTATTTGTATTATATTTTAATTTGTTTAATGTTGTGATTTGTTTCAGAACTTTGACGTCCAACCATGTGACTCGATTCGAAGACGGGTGCTTTCAAGATTTACAAAATCTCTTTGCAATGTACGACGT